ACACACACACACACACACACACACACACACACACACACACTTCACATGCTCTGCACGCTCTGCACGTAGGCTGCTGGGGAGAGTATAAATTGGATAAAAGTCCATCAAACAGCGGCAATTAAGTTATTGATTTTCGACGCTGCCTCATTAAACTGGGAGCTTCTCTCTCGGCCTGTCCCAGAGATGGCTCTAATTTGACATCATGTTCAATTTGACGAAATCAGGGCTTGGGACATGAGGCTGGACAGGAGGGGGGTGAGGGTGGGGTGGGGGAGGGTTAGATGGGGAGGCAGGCAAAGCCTTCTGGTCCATCTGAACCTTTCCAGAAAGGAGGGGGTGAGGTAGAAGACCCAAGAGGGAGTCTTGGGAGCTCAGGATATGAGCCAAGAGGATAAGACTCAGACATCACTTCAAGGTGATGCCTTCTTTTGAATGCCCTGCTGGTGAGGGGATGGGACCCAGACCTGCTGAGGTTCTGGGTGGGGCCTTTCCGGGGCTGGGTGGTACTCTCTGGGCCAGGAGGGCGCCTGCTAGGAGGTAAGGCCCATTCACAGCTTGGCTAATGAGTGAGGCTCTGGAAGTGCTACTGCAACAATTCTGCTAAGCCCGGCCTGCCGCCCGCCTCTCCCGCCTCCAGCCTGGGGCCCTCGATCATTCCAGACAGACACATGTATTTATTTTTCACTCTTTTGCATTCCTTATTTCCCTCTCTATATCCCCCCTCCCAGCCTGAGCCTTCTAAACCGGCCCCACAATGCGTCTCTCTTTGGCAGCTCCTGCTCCATGTCAGCCATGTCAGGGTTGCCCAGAGAAGCTAGGGAAGGTATTTGAGCAAGCGCTCTCCCCCTCGATGCTTGGTGCCCAGGGTCTCCTCTCAGGGCCAAGGACATAACCCCAGGTGCCTCATATTATACAGAAAGAGGAAAAAGGAATAAACTCTTAGGGGCACCCACTGCATGTCCAGCTTCACCAAGCACTTAAATTCATCATCTCTGGGGCACCTGGGTGGCTCAGTGGGTTAAAGCCTCTGCCTTCGGCTCAGGTCATGGTCCTGGGGTCCTGGGATCCTAGGATCCCATATTGGGCTCTCTGCTCAGCGGTGGGCCTGCTTCCTCCTCTCTCTCTCTGCCTGCCTCTCTGCCTGCTTGTGATCTCTGTCTGTCAAATAAATAAATAAAATCTTTAAAAAAAATTCATCATCTGTAGTCCTCATAGTATTTCCGAGAGGCAGAATGTTCTCCTCGAAGTTACAGGTGAGGAAACAGGTCAGACAAGTAGGAAAACTTGACCAAGAGCACTGAGAGAGGAAGTGGTGGGATTTGAACCCAGGACTCTGAGGTCAAAGCCCTCCTGGGGTGACAGTCAGTGCAGGCAGGCAGAGTGGCTCTGGGGATGGTGGCTAAGTGTAATGAATCACAATCAGTGAGGACTCTGCCATTTACTAGCAGTTTGACCTTGAACATGTCACAACCCCCTTGTGCCTCAATTTTCTCATTTGTGAAATGAAGATGAGCATATTACCAAACTCCAAACATTGTTTTAGGAATTTAAACAGACTTCCATGTTCAGCACCGAGGACAGTGCCTGACCCACGCTAAGCACTTAATAAATGTAGGTTGTTGTCTTGGGAGGCATGGCATGCGAGTATATGACAGCACAATCATGCCTCCCTCACAGACACACTGAAAAGGGAGAAAATACATAAAGCATCAGGCTCATGGTGGGTGCTCAATAAATAGTGGCTGTTGTAGCTGTTATGAGAGAGGGTCTCCCTGCCCCTCCCCTCTGCTTGTTCCCCCCACCCCTTGGGCAAGGCACAATATCCAGCTGAATGACTCCCCAGGGTAATGGCTGATCTCTCTCTCTCTCCCTGGCTGCATCCCAGGGACTCCCGCGGGGATGATGGAGTCATTTCCCCAATCCCGGATTCTTTATTGCAGCCATTATAGTTAATGCTGACACGTGGAGATGGTGAAGGGTCAGTGATTCACCACTGGCTCCCCAGGCTCCAGACCCCCTCCTACCTTCTTCACAAGTCAGCAGCTCCCCAGAATGGGCAGATAAAAGGGTGCCAGGCTTGTGGCTGCTACGGGACCACTGCAGGGTCAGCCCCCCTCCATTCAACAGTTCGATTTTATAATGACCATCACATCCACTCCCTCCTTTAGTCCTCAGTCGAATTCTAAGATGTAGATGCAGTGGTATGCTGGTAAGTGTTTAACCATCAGCTCAGAGGGCTAGAGGGGTGGGGAGGAACGCCCTGCCTTGTTGTATTTGTTGATTTCCATGGTGTAGAGACTCTCACCATGGCCAATTTCAAGATACCTATGTGATATCAAGTGGCTCACAAAACAGAAAATCAATATTTGCCTATTGTGAGTAGATATGAGCCAACACCGTACAATCCTGCATCATTCCCATTTTACAGATGAAGAAACTGCTATGCACGGTGAAGGGTGAAAATGTGAATTAATAATAAATACTGATGAAACCCATTATTACATATTGTTATTCGAGGATCATGATAGATTATGTTTACTGAATAACTACTTTGTGCTAGATCCTATGAGAAGCTTTTATGTCTGTTATCTCATGGAAATATAAAATAAGCTTGAAGTAAGCTCTATTGAGATTCCCACTTTACAGATGAAAAAATGAGGCTGAGTGAAGTTAAGCAACGAAGCCCCTTGTGCCTTAGTTTCCTCACTTGTGAAATGAAGGTAATATTACTGCCAAGCTCTCAAGATCACTGTGAGAACTCAAATAGTTCTCCATGTTCAGAACCAAGAACAATGTCTGGCCAAGTTCACCTGGCAAGGAAATAGGAGAGGCAGGATTCAAACCCAGGTTGATCTGATGTCAAAACCCACATGTGCCTGGTCTTATGAAGTAGGAGCGGGAGGGCAATAGGAGTAAAAGGAGACAGGCAAGTAAGAGAGGGAAGAGTCAGAGAAAGGAGGGGAATGGCAAGGAACTGCATCAGGGATTTTCCCTGCCTCAACTGGTTGAAGCTCTGACTTCCAGACGTAGGGCTGGGATTGGCTAGGATGAGCTGGTTGCTGTCCATGGTGCTGCCAGCCAACTCTTAAGCTACGTGGGGTTAAGGACCTCTATCCAGGCCAGCATAGGAAGTATTGCCCAAATGATTCTTGGGTAAACAGGATTTCAGAGCAGGGTTCCATGTAGAATGTTAAATGTGGAAAGGCTGGTCCTCAGAGAGCATAGAAACCAGTGTTTCTTACTCTGGCTGCATATTAGAATCTCTTAGGAGCTTTAAAATAAAACTGATGCTGAACCCCACCCCAGACCAATTCAGTAGGCCTCTCCTGGGGTGAAGCAGAGACAGGGGCATTTTTAAAAACTCCTGCAGTGATTCTAAAATGCATCCCAGGCTAACCACCGGCCAAACCCCTGATTGAACTCAGGAAACTGAGTCATGGGGTCTCTGCTCAGTGACTTTCCCCAGATTCTATCAGTAGTAAGTGGTAGGGAAAGACTGCAGCCCAGGTCTGTGGAGCCAGCATGTCACCCTTCTGGACTCACTGTGCCAGTCCTGAGACTGACACTAGGAAGGAAGAAGCAAGGACGACACATGCCACCAAGTCAGCAGTGCTCCTCCCAGGCAAAATCAGCATGAGACATCAGACTCCTGCCAGGAGATGAGACTGGGTGGGCTTTGGCATCAGAGAGTCTTGGGTTCAGATCCCACCGCTTCTTCACTCTGTGCTCTTGGTCAAGTCTTTCTCCCTGTTTGACCTCTTTCCTCACCTTTAATCTAGAGGAGGCCCCTCTGCCTCCCAGCGATGCTCTGAGGACTAGAAATGATGGATTTACATGGCTGGTAAAGCTGGGCATATAGTAACACTCAGTAGTTTATTCCTCTTGTCTCTCTGCAATGGTCAGAAGGTCTCTGGGGCTGTGCTTTTGGCCTGAAGTAGAAAATTCCTGGACACCATTATCAGGAGGGAGGGGTCATGCTCACCACTTATCTCTGGTTTACCTGGGTGTCTCTGACATGGTTTGTCATGGAGCCAGAATTGGAACCCATGGCCTGGCTCCCAACCCAGAATTCTTTCCTTTCTTATCTCTTGTCTTTGCTATCTACGAGGTCCAACTGCCACCTAGACTT